ATCGTATCTCATTTTTTGTTGTTTTGTGAAATATATCCTGTCTAAGCATATCTCCTCAGTTCAACCTGTACCCAGCAATTGATGATGTAAAAATCTCCCCAAATGATGGTGGATACTATGCCAAGTTCATTACACAGCTTACCTTACTTAATCCTCACAACAACCTTTTAAGTTACGTTTTTTTTTTTTTTTTTCCCTCACAACCACCTTTTAAGTTGGGCATTTTTTTAAATGGTGGAACAGAAGCATGGGGAGACAAGAACATAGTTGGAGTCCAAAGCATTTAGTATTAACTGCAACCCCACTTTGCCTACAGTTTCGTATTTTTGTTTTTGTTTTCTTTATTGGGGAATTGGGGAAGGGGAACAGTGTTGGGGAATTGGGGAAGGGAAACGGTCAAGTTGTTGTCCTTCAATCTTAGTTGTGGAGGACACAGCAAGCTCAGCTCCAAGTCCAGTTGCCATCTGGCTGCCCAAGGCCACTCAGCTCAAGATGCTGTGTTCAATCTTAGTTGTAGGGGGCACAGCCCCCCATCCCATGCAGGAGTCAAACCCAGAAATCTTGTTGTTAGGAGCACGTGCTCTCACCAGCTGAACCATCCTGCCATCTGGTGGCAGCTTAGCTCGGGCACAGTGTCACTGGCCCATGTGAGAATCGAACCAGCGACCCTGTTCATCAGAGCTCACACTCCAACCAACTGAGCCACTTGGCCGGCCCTGCCTCCAGTTTTGTTTTTAGAACGGGGTGATGGAGTTATAAGGTGCTATTTATTTTGAGCTATAGCCTCATTCTCAGTGCCTGTAGGGCTGCACTAGGACACGTTTTCCTGCCTTTCTCAGGGTTGCCCATGCTGACCAACCTTCATGCTCCTCGTGCCACCACAGATTAGTTAGAGGGTGACCTACCCAAGGCTGGCACAAAGGATTGGAGACAAATGAGGTCTGTGCTATGAATAAAGTCTGAAAATGTGAGCTGCAGACACTAGGTAAGAAGGCCCTGTCATGTGTTTGTGTCTCGGCAATTACAGTGAATCATCATGCTGGCAGGTCCATCACAAGGCTGCTAGGAACGTGGAGGCATCCCTTCCTGATAGGCGCCTTGCCCAGGTCATTGCTCTTAGTGCTTTGGCACCCATAGCTCGCCCTCGTTGGTGTGAATGGCCACCGAGTCTGGGGGCCTTTCTGATAATAACAGTAGCTCCTGCATGTTTCTCAGAGGAGTGCCAGGATATCCTGATCCAGTCACCCAGCTTTCTCCCCTCCACACCTCACCCCAGTTTGTTTCACGCTCACTTCCTGTGCTGTATGGGGAATGTCTTTTAAAGGAACTGAAAGAAGAAAGGAGAGCAGATATATAGCAATGGTTTGTGTGTAACCTTCTTGTTTACCATTTCTGGTTCTTTCAAGAATTTTCTCTTTATCTTTGGTTTTGAACATTTTTACTATCACTGGGTATGGATCGCTTTTTGTTATTCTACTTGTAGTCTGTTGACTTTCTTGGATGTATACATTAATGTTTCTTATCAAATTTGGGGTTTTTTTTATCATTATCTCTTTGAAGATTTTTTCTGCTCTTTACTTTCGATATTCCCATTATACATATGTTACTGTGCTTGATGGTGTGCCACATTTGTTGGGCTCAGTCTTCTGCCTGCTGAAATCTAATAAGCCTTTTGGTGATGTTTTGAATCTCTGTAATTTACTTTTCAATTCCAGAATTTCCATTTTGTTCATTTATGTAATTTCTGTCTCTGTTGATATTATCTGATGAAACATTGTCATCATACCTTTCCTTAATTCTTTAAGCATGGTTTACTTTAGCTCTTTGAACGTATTTATAATAGCTGCTCTGATATGTTTGTCTGCTAAGTACAATATCTGGGCCCTCTCAAACGCAGTCTCTGTTGCCTGCTTTTTTCCTGTGTGTGGACCACACTTTCCTGTTCTTTGCACATCTCAAAATTGGTTTGCAACTAGACATTTTAGGTATATCACATATCATGCAATTTTGGACACTGAGACACTGATTCTCCTCCCCTCTACACCCCCATCCCCAAACCCAGCTTCTCTTTGTTTATTTGCTTAGTGACTTAGCTAGGCTAGCTCAATAAAGTCTGTTCCCCTGCAGTCGGCTTCTGCTGTCACTCCTTAGAGGGCACAACCTTGAGCTGTGAGTGACATTCTTATATTTCCTTTTTTAAATGGCATAATTCTTCCAAATGGCTCTCGGACTGCCTCTCTGCCTGATCTCCCTGTTAAATTTCTGATGGATCTGTTTCTATTGTTATCTCATCTAGCTGTTAGCTTCCACTAGTTTCTAGTTGTTTGATTTATTGGTTTTGGCCCCGGGACCAAAAATTCCCCCATAGCCTGATTTAGTTCAAGTCAGGCCCCTTCACTAGGAAAGTCTTCAAGGCTATTCCTTGAAGCTCGCTCTGACCCCAGGAGGACTCTCCTTAGCTGTCTCTTTCTCTTCTCTCTGTTCAACTCCTAGCTGATCTACTCTTTTTCAGTTATGGAGCTACAAGTTTCCTCTAAATTCTCACCACCAAAATTTCTATTGTTTTCAGCAGCACCTTATGCTTTTATACCAATATGAATTTGAAAATTTAAAATGCACAAATTCCTAGAAAGCTATGACTTCATGAAAGAGACTGAAGAGGAAAAGTTGAATAATCCTCTTTATTAGAGAAATAGAATCAATATTCTGAAATCATGCCATAAAGAAATATCAAGTCTAGATCATTTTTGCTGGCAAGTTGTACCAAACATTTAAGTTACAACTAATTTCAATCTTATACAATCTATTCCAGAAAAGGGAAAAATAAGGACATTCTCCCAGTCGTTTTAGGTTAGCAAAAGCTTGGTAGCAAAATCAAGGGACAGTATAAGAAGGAAAAATAAAGGCCTATCATGCACAGATGAAAAAATATCATAAACAAGATACTATCACATAACGAAGCTGAAGAATATTTGCTAATTTTGTTAAGTTTAATAATGGTTTGGAATTTTGAAAGAAAATGTCCACAGTTTTTAGAGCTGCATAATAAAGTATGTAGGAGCGAGATGGCATAAGGTCTGAAATTTGCTTTAATATACACTTCGAGATTGGAGGTGGGTTGGTTCTCAAATATTCTAGAATCTAGATATGAGTTTATGGGAGTTTGTTATTGTCTCTGCTTTTGTGTGAATTTGAAAAGTCTCATAATACAAAAGGACTAAAAACATTGCCTTGATTATATGTCTTTTTTTTTTTTTACAAAGAGAAATAAAGTATACACACATTAGGAGGTGTCAAAGCTAATGTCATACATGGACAGAAATATGACAAGGTGGGGAATTTAACTTTTAGACATTTGATCTGGCCTAATCCAAAAGAGATCCCAGGGCCGGCCGAGTGGCTCAGTTGGTAAAGACCTCGCCCAAGAGCGCGAGCTCTGGGCAACAGGGTCACCAGTTTGATTCCCACATGGGCCTGAGCGGAGCTGCCGCTAAGCTGCCAACAGGTGGCAGGATGGCCCAGCTAAAGAAAAAAAAAAACTTAAAAAAAAACCCAAACAAACAAACAAAACAGAGGGATCCCAAGCGAGGTCCACTGTAAGCAATCCTGTGTGGTCTGGAGACAGAGCAGGGATGAGCTCCCACTGCATGGGAACATCCAGGAGGATGGATCAAGTTCCTGGACAGGCTGCATGGAACGAAGTCCTCACACAGTGATTGCACAGCTAGAAATGGGCCACATTCTTCTTTGAGCTGTGGTTAGAGTTGAGCCTTTACCTCCATCATTAGGATAAAGATGATGTGTGTGAAAAAAAGTCAGCAGGTTGTAAAGCTGTACAAATGAAAGGTACTTGAAATGCTATTTACAGAAGCAATTTTAAGTGTAAAAATGAGAGGGGACAGCTACTTTGGAAAACAGTTTCGCGTTCCTTCAAAATGTGAAACATAAATTTATCACATGCCCCAGCAAGCCAGTCCTATGAAGAACCGAAAACATGTCCACACAAAAACGGGTACACAATTTTCATAGCACCATTATTCATAAAATGGTCCCAAAGTGGAAACAACCAAAATGTCTACAACTGATAAATATTTAAACAAAATGTGGTGTTTCCATACAGTGGGACATTATTCAGCAATAAAAAGGGAGAAAGCACTGACACAGGCTACAACAGGGATGAACCTTGAAAACATTTTGCAGAGTGAAAAAGGACGGTCACTGAAGGTCGCATATTATGATTCCATTTATATGAAATGTCCATACTGGGCAAATCCACAGAGACAGAAGGCAGATCAGTGGTTGCCAGCGTCACAGGATATGGGTTTCCTTGGAGGGTAGTAAAAATGTTCTAAAATTAGATAAGGGTGCTGGTTGCACAACTCTGTGAATGTACTAAAAACCACTGAATTGTACACCTGAAAGGGGTAACTTTTATAGTATGTGAATTAAAAGCTGTCATTTAAAAAGGGGGTGGAGGAGATCAGGGGAAGGAGAATTTGGCCCAAAATGGTTTCATCTCATATCACTCCACCCCTCCATTACCACCACCACCAAGGTCCTGAACTCTTCTGTCAAACTCAGGAAGATGTGTGATGGTTTTTTTTAATCTGCATTGAGAAAATGCCACATCTGAAGCAGAAACAATAAACCAAGAGTTGCCATTTGACCCCCCCATGCCTTCACTGGTTACCCTGGAGGAGGAGGCTTAGAGCGGGAGGCTGTCTGGAAGTGGTGCTGAGAGCTCAGCCCCCTGCAGGCTAGGCCTCCTCTTCCTGAACTGCCCCCTCCTAACCAGCAGGGAGCGTATTCACTGTATGGGGATGATGATTTGAATTAATCACTGAATCTCACTGTCAAACCGCCACAAACACCACCGCGAAAGTCTTCACCCCAAATACAAGCATGACTCTGGCTCCCTCTGCCGTGGTGAGACGGATCACGCCCCGGCCAGCTGGCTTTCACTCACCTTGCGCTCTCTCTCCTGTCCTCTTGTTTTCCAGTGGCTGCTTCAACTCCCAACTCCACTGCTGGTGCGGCCATGAACTCTTTGACCTCACTGGGGACTCTGCAAGGACTGGCGGGAGCCACTGTTGGACTGAACAATATTAATGCACTCGCAGGTACCATAAACAGTGAGTACTCGCTGCTCTGGTGGACAGCCTTCCCCCAAATTCTCCACAGGAAGTGGTCAGCCGGAAGTGACCTCAAAGGCATCCGTAATGGGAGAACTAAAACTTGGGATGGAGGAGCACATGCTTTGATTGGCAGACGCTGTCTAGGTTAACTTTGCCTCAAGAAATACTCAACCCCTCCCCACGGCATCTTTTCTAATATGTAGTATGTGCCTCTCCATCCAGAGATTTCTGTGGTTGGCAGTTACTTGCAGGTTTCGAGGGGGCTGGTTTGGTTTTGGATTTGTGCTGTCCTTCAGAGAAACAGTGTGTGAATAAGAGGAAACTTGACCGGCTAGAGATCAGGACACCTGGGTCCTGCCCCGAACCTGCCAGCAGTTACCTGCAGAGTCCCATTTGAAAATTGGAAGTTCTGGATCTGGTGGTCTTAAAAAGGTCTTAATAGTACCCTCCAGCTCTAAACCAGAGTCATGAAGTGACTCACGTAGGGGGACAACGAGGCCTTGGAAAGATAGGAATTCAGCTGAGTAGAGAGGAGGTCTGGAGTCTCAACTTCGCACGCGTGGCCATGGGTCATTCTAAGCAGAGCGGCCGCAAAGGGCCATGGCAGGGTGAGGCAGATCGCTTACAGAATCACTTAGTTCAGAAACCTAGGGACTCACCGAAGAACTCTAGGTGCTGTCCTACATGGCTTACCCACTTCCAGCAGTTAGATCTATGGGGAGAAGTAGCACCCAGCCAGCAGAGGAGTATACTGTAGGCTCATGCTAGGCGGTGGCTCCTGCACAGGGTGGGGGTGGGGGGATGGTCCTCAGCCCTGAGGGGACACCTCATTTGCCTTTCCCTCATTTTGGTCCCCCCTGGGTGCCTGAGAGTAGCCAAGCCCCTCAGGTCCATGACAGCCTAAGGAGATTCTGATTTGGGGGTCCAGCTACCTACCATGCAGCCCAAGCAACCCAACACTGCCCACTTTAAGCATTAAAAAAGGGCCCTGTTTTAAGCCATGATTTAATCAGGCAGTACAATTTTCTTAAAAAGGCAAAAAAAAAAAAATCCCAGTAATCCTATATTTTAAAAGCTCAAAAAGAACAACTTGCAATTTATTTGGTAAAAAAGAACATAGAACTCATCCAAATAAAGACTAACTTTTATAATCCTGATAAGAAAATAAATCTTATATTTAGAGAGAGGAAATTTTCAGGTTTTATGAAATCCTTTCATTCAGGTGTTCTGGGAAAAACAAACAAAAACTTGAACTGAGTTTTATTTGACCAGAGGCCAAAAAGAAAAAAGAAAAGAAAAACATGCTTCCTTCCAGATACAGTGGCTCTTGATTAGCACATAGTACGTGAAGTGGTAACCCTAGGACAGCAAAATATTTTATTCCAGTAAAGCTGCCTCCAGCTCCCCCTTTCCAGCAGCCCCGGAGCCCTCATTGCTGTGACCGTTTCTGACCTTGTTCTGCAGACGCTCCAGCCCACTTGCCCTCGGTTGCAGGTGTGTGTGTTTGCACACAGCCCTTCATGCTGCTTCTCTTGCCCCAGGACCTAGTTCCCCTAAAACAAGGACTCTGATTTGATCGCCTGCCTGTCCTTGGTCTGCAAAGTACCAGGCCAGTGGGAGTGGCTGTCCTCCTCAGCACGTGCTCATGACTGCTGTGTGTCGTCCCGTCCTCTCGTCTGTGCAGTCTCGCCTCTCTCCATCCTGTTCTGTTTATGCTGCTGGGATTTTCCATCGTTCTGAGGGGCGCCAGAGGGACGCGGTTGAATGGCAGAAAAACTATGACTACTTCTTGGGTGGGGTTTGTGTTCTACAAATTTTGCTTCTGGCAAGGACAACAGGCTTAAGTTGTTCAGTTTTTTTTTAATTCTTTGCCATTGGGCTAATATAGCTTTGTATGGTTCATGGGAAATTAACAGTGTTTCCGGTTTCAAATTACCCCAACCAGAAAGTATGCGTATGAACCAGGGGAATGTTTAATGAAACCAAACATCATGCCCAAACAAACACGTTCTTTCTGATTTGGTGACTATTACTAGCGCAGGGCTATTTAACAATGCAGTAATGGCTCAGAGCTAGTATTTACTTCTAGTCTCAAAGACCAAGAAATAACCTTTTAATAGTGTCCTCTTTCAGACTATTCTCCTTCAACAGATGTGCTGACGCCACTGTCCTACCAGATAATTCTCAGAGCAGGCAGTCAGGAGACAGAGAGCTGGACAAAGGCAGCTTCTGAAACAGCTGGCCTCAGTACACGGCAGTTCCCTATCCCACTCCACCCAGAAACCATTCGAGCTTCCATAAGAAGCATTTTCTGGTGTTCTGAATAGAGCCAACTCTTTTCCATGGATAAAGGCGCCGGGAAGAAAGTAGGTAGATGGAATCCAATTTATTCCCAAACTCAGCTTAGTGTAAATTTTACCTCCTACCCAGCCAGACGGCCCCTCACTGCCCCCCAAAATAAAGTTTGGGTTCACAGACAAGTAGCTAAATTGAACTGAATTTGACCTTTTTCTTCCTTTATACATTCATGAATGGAGGGGCTAAAAAAAAAAAAAAATTACAGGACCCTAAAGCTAAAAGCAGAAATGGGCCAGATGAGAAGCAGGGATGTGGGTGATTCACTCTCAGAGCTTTGACTCATGGATCATTTGAGGGTCCTCCAGGCATGTTTCGTATATTATGTCTGTCTGAACCGAGATTAAGAAAATATTTTTTGCAGATATGTCACCAAGAGTCTGTGTCTGATTTTGTGTTTAAATGTATTTTTCCTTGTTTAAATGCCGCAATTCTTCCAAATGGCTTACCCTTACAGTGCTTAAAATTATGATGGTCTGAATATAACCGGCCACAAATGCCTGGTGAAAGTGTTTATGGAAATATTTCATGTAAAGGAGAGAAAAGAGAAGAAGCACTGGGCATATTATTGTGGTCTGTCACCCTTTATTTGCATTGTGAAATGACTGTTTTAATCTGTATTGTTGGACTATACAAAGGCACGTGTAGTTAGATCCAAATATGAGCACACACAGCCTCACACTTGTGACCAGATGTCACAAGTACGAATGCTACTAATTGTCCATATTCATATTCACCTACCCTGGGTCTGGACATTTTATACTTAAGTTCTCATTACCAGCTTTCAGCTTAGGAGGATATACTTCATCTACACCAGGGAAGCTTATCCCAGTAACTAGGTTAAAGAAGGGTGGAAATATATTGATACTTTCCTCACTTTTGCTCTCTCTTTGGTATGATGCCTTGCAGCGTGGCTCACAGAGTGCCATGGTTTGCTTGTGGCGCTCTGCCTCCGGCTCTCCGCTGCAGCGCCATCTTCATAGCGGCCACAATGTTCACGCTCATGGCTGTGGGTGGGTCCTTCTGTGTCATTTACACAGATTTACTCAGTACTCTCACAGCTCCTTGGGTCTCCCTCAGTTGGAGAAAAAAATTAAGTTTAAAGCACTTAGTAGTCAAGATATGTATGTGGGCAAGCCCTTGCAAAGACCTTCCCTTGTCAAAATTTGCCACACCTGTCATTTTGTCCCAGCCCTCCTCACCCACATAGCTTTCCTGGGAACCTAGATTAAATGGGACGAAATGATTGATCCATTTGGCCTTTTCAAAGAAAAGCCCTATTCTTTTAGGGGGAAACATTTTATTCAACTTAACCTTCAAGCCTCTGTTTCTGTTGTCCAGAGTTTTTAGATCTAACCAGATACCACCAGCAATTGACAAGTGTTATCTTTTATATAATGATTATTTAATACAGAAAAATGTTAGATAATTTCCAGGAGAAACTCGCAGAGGTTGAAATCTTCCTTTGAGGGTCCTTCAAATTCTGCTAGGTAATCAGTTACCTGTTCTGCCATGGCTGTTGCCAAACTCACACACCAAAATGAGTTCCAGGAGTTTTGGTCAGAAATATCCTCTTATAAATGCACTTGTACTTGTTAGAATTTTTATCCTTATTTTTTGTTCAAAAGGATGGCTATCCAGGAAGAGAAAAGCCCTGGGCTAGAGGCCCTGACTAGTCCTCTTTGGCATCAGTGCCCCATTGCCTTGGTGCCTCCTCTGCCATCTCCCTCCCCACCCCAGGCAGGTAAGGCCAGCCGTGAGGATCTCTCACACACATGAATCAGCTGAGCAGGCAGAACCTTCGGGAAACAGATTTGCCCTGAGGTATAGTCAAAACCCAGCCAACCCGTGTGAGGTGGGCAGGAGTGAGGATGCGGCTGGACTGTCACTTGCTAGGGTTCAAGCCACCAAGACTAGTCCTGAACCAGCATCCGGTCTTTCAGGAGCATGAAATTCATTCTGCCTCTGTGTTTCACGAGAACAAAACAACAACAAATGGCAAAAAGGGGAAAGAGAAGATAATTCACCTGACAAGGGAGTCGGGCACCAATGGCTGTGGCAGTGACATCCACTGTGTGGCCGGCCCTCGGAGAAGCCGGGCCGCGGAAGCTGCCGTCATAGGAAGGCACTCCTGACGGTCTCACACGCAGGGACTGAAGGCCGAGGCCCCAAGCAGACGGGGTTGCCCAGAGACGAAGCATTCTCAACCGTTCCACTGATGGCAAGAACTCGGACACCTTCTTCGCAGTGGCGCTTCCGTATCCAGCCCAGGTCTGTTGGGCTGCTGTGCCCCATGTAGCTCGGCAGGCCACCATGCACACCTGGAGAGGGGCACGTCACTGCTCATTTTCTGCCTAGAATTTCTTCCCACACAGGAACCAACTTTCCAGAGGGCTGAGCCATGACGTGACCCTAGCAGCCTATTAACAACCTGACAAAAATGAAGTCAGTGGCACTTGTCAACTGGGCCCTGCTCTTCCTGAGTTATTTTACACCCTCCTCTCACCTCTCTCAGAAAAGAAACATTGGTGTTTCTTTGCACTCATACAAATATTGGGAGGTGAGGATGAAATGAGACCGAGAGGAGAAAAGCAGTTACTCCCCATCCCTTCAGTAGCCGTAAGAAGACTAGATGGGGAGGGAAAGAGGCAGACAGGTAAATGGGATTGGTTGGTGTCTGAGGGATCGTTTAATTAGGACAAACTATGTCTAAGCTCCCCACAGCTCTTATTTGCATGGTGGGAAAAAATCATGAAGAGCGAGAGAAGAGACTCCTTTGTAAGAGACTTAAAGCCGAGTCGGCAGGACCTCTGCTAGCCAACAGGACCTCCGTCTGCATGGTAACATCACCCAGGGCCCAGCTCTGTCTCCTCGAGGCCTCCAGGAAGGCCACCAGACCTGAGGCACTCTGCGACCCCTCTCCGGGAGCACGACGGTCTGACTCAGTCTTTTTAATGCAGGAGCTGAAGCCGTCCAGATGCCACAGGCACATGTAGAGTCAGGAGGCCTCCCCACCTGCTTCCCGAGGAGAAACAGCAATGGGGCGTGGAGGTGACTCTGGCACTGGATCCCGCCGTAGACTTCTAAGTGTCCTCACCTTAGCTGTCTGTTCTCACTGGACCTCCTACCCACTCTCCCACAGTCACTCATCCTGGCTGTTTCACCAGCCCTGATCAATAGCCCTAATCCCGTCAATATTTTCATTAGTGTTTTTAGTTAAGTCCTCCCAGAATCAGATCTTTTTTAGAAACACGTTTTAATCATAGAAGGAACCAAAGGCAATTATGATGTCACCTCTTCCATTCCCGAGTTCCTATGGAAGTTAACACTCTATAAAGCCTTGCTTGTTTTGACTCAGTACTCAGGGAAAATATGACACAGTCAGCAGCCATAATAGAGCCAAAATGCAGCCAGGATACAAGGGAAAAAAGCAAAAGTGTGCAGGCCAACATCCACTTCACAGGAGTGAAGAGCAGAAGTCCAGCATACAGCCCCAGGTGTCACTTCAGGTGACTACAAAACATGACATGGAGCTCTGTCATTGGCAGAAACCCCAGTTACAAGGGGACTGATTAATATTTGTGTGTGTCTGTGTGTCTGTCTAGACCGTCATATTGAATAAGCAACATCAGTTCTCTGCAGGTGAGGGAATGGTCCACGCTTTTCCCTGTGCCTTAATTCTTCAGCAGCTAGGCTACTCCTGAGCTCCTGGTCCTGGCAACACTCTTCCGTTTAGGAAAGCCCATTAGTGGAACTGCCCAGTCACTGGTGTATGGAGGACAGAGCTTGTCTTCTCTGCCATTTCCCCATCAGACAGCTGACGGGAGAAAGGTTTTATTTCATCCTTTCCTCCTGAGCCCCTCGAGCCACCCTTGGCTGCTCAGAGTGCCCAGTAAATGGAAATAAGTGCACAAATGTCACCGGCCTCAGCTAGTGATGTTTCCTACCTGCTCCTGAGCTCTAAGAAGCAAAGGCGTTTGTTTCCAAAGTACCACAGTACTTGCCAGTAGCACCTGCATGGGAGGGAGATGAGCTGCGTGACGGCAGTGCGTCCGTGACGTCTGCTCACCGGCCCGGGGAGCAGGGAATCTGTGCTGGGGATGTGGGGGTGCCGCTGCTGCTGTCTGTGCCGCTGCCATTACTGTGACTGATGCAGTTTCATTTCCCTCCATGTCGGCTTCATTGGCACTGGCTGCATGCACTCGCTGTGTTGTACTGTGTCAGATGATTCTCTAACTTCCTTTGGAAAGCACTAATGAAAAGTGCTGTTTCTCTTCTCTATTGTTGGGTTTTTTGTAAAGTTGCTCAAATGCTCTCAGGTATGGCGGCTCTGAATGGAGGACTTGGCGCCACGGGCTTGACGAATGGCACGGCGGGCACCATGGACGCCCTCAGCCAGGCCTACTCAGGGATCCAGCAGTACGCAGCGGCCGCACTGCCCACTCTGTACAGCCAGAGCCTGCTGCAGCAGCAGAGCGCCGCGGGCAGCCAGAAGGAAGGTACGTGCCACCCTCACCCAGGCGCCGGCATGGTTGCCAGCGGGCAGCGTCCACCCTGAAAGCACGTTTGCAAAGAAACTAGACCAGGCCAGAATCACAGAGGAGGCAGCTGTATTAGTTCTGCTATCCAACAGGTTTTAGGAAACCCGACAAGCCTAAGCCATTTGTTTAGTCTTCTTTCCAGTTCAATCTTATATTTCTTTCATCTTTTGATTTAATTTTTCATCCACCTCTTAAGAGGGAATGCTCACCCACTGTGTGCTTATATGCAATTACTTAGTAGTTGCTGCCATCCAAAAATTGCCAGGAACCCCCTCTCCCAAGTCAGCATAATGTCTCCCCTTACACATAAACGCATCAGTGGGTTGGGGGATCGACACCGTCCTCTGTCCTCCAGGGGTGACGCACTCTCTCCGGCCGGCCCCAGGGTTCTCGGAGTCCACACACCTGAGACTGTAGCTGGCCTCTTAGTAGGCGATGGTTTCCAGGTTAATGATAAAATCCACTGTGAAGGCTGACTCAGTCTTTAATTGGGGGTCATTGGGGAAACAAATAAGTGATTGATTCTTTGCTTCTCTGCCAATAAAACAAAGTAAACGTCAGGCAGTTAATACTAAGAATAAATTAAAGCTAAGTATAAAATAGTTAATGAGCTAGTCCAAGAAGGAAGAACTTGTCTCTTTCTCTTTCTTCCTGTTGGTTTCTTCTGCCTTAATTGAAGTTGCTTTGAAGCAGAATCTGCAATGTGGTATTCTTCTCGGACTTGTTTAGAATATGGGCAAAGCCGCTAGAATAGGAAGTACTGCCAGAGAAGTTTTTACATTTCTTTCCATTCCCCTTTACCCTCAGCTCTAATTCCAAACTGTTTTCCTCTGAACATTTTTACCTTAAACATGGTATTCTATGAAGAAATAGAATAGCTTTACTTTGTGAAGTTGTAGGTTTTAAAGGGGACACAGCTTTAAAGATACTCATGTGTAACAAAAGTTTTTCCTGTTTACAAATAACAGCGTTAAAAATGAAAAATATGTGACTAAGTTATTTTTCAGTATTTTAACTTCCTCTTTACTCTTGGTTGTGACTGTGGTAGATTTTTTTAACACATGCACCACTGTTAGGACTGCTGCGTTTCCCCAGGTGTGTGGACATGCTGTGTCATAAATACATGACTTCCCAAAGAAAAGCCTGTGTTGAGGTCCCTTTGTCTGGGGTCTGACTACCATGGTGACAAATTAGGGCTGTAGGACAGTCTCATAAGATAATGACATCCTCAGAAGAGACCATAAAAGCCAGCTCCCCTGTATGTGTTTTTAGAAAATGTTGGTCACCTCTCCATTACCAGCAGTGCCTTACAGCAAATTGTAGAGCCTGTGTCACTGAGAAAATGTCACCAGAAGACTCAAAATTTTGTGGTTTAAGGATAAAGTCTGAGCCCTGAAACAACATTTATCTCAGTTGCTTCACCCCAGCCCACTGCCCTAAATTTAGGCCCTGCCTTAAGTTTTCGGGATTGCTCGAGCAGTAATTAACCCTCTGCGATTGATGTGAAATAGTTGGAAATGACGGCTGCCAACTCCAGACTGTATCTATTTAGGTATGCAGCTACCAGTAGCATGCTTTAGGGGTTTTGATTTTTTTATGGTGTTTTTTGGTTCAGTATTTTCTAGTCATTTCTCACCTTCTCATACCTCTCTTCTGATCATGTTCTTCTCACCCAATTAACGCGAGCTCAAGAAATTTAAGCCACCTTAATGTATAAACATAATGTAAACAAAACATAATATAAAAGGCAAGTTACATTTGGAAGGAAAAAAAAATCTCATAATGAATCCCGCTACTAAATAGATTCCTAGATTTTCTACTACATAGTTCTGTCCTTTAGTTAAGACAATTGTTAAGTCAACTTGATCTGTTTGGTCATGTACCCGGGTGTGTTTTCCCACAAGAACACAAGCCAGTCTGGCAAATGGTTTGAATATTTCCCCACCTAAATCGTCTGAAGCGTTACGGCTTCCCTATAGATCTAAAGTCCAGGAGAGACGACCAGCTTCCTAAGTATCCTCTGACCTTTCACACCTTCCATCTTCCCATGTCTGCAGGAGGCAAGTCCCTCACACAAGTGGGTGGAGCCTTCGACACCAGTGGGAAGCTGGTGGGTGGGCGCTGGCCGTCTGATACAAACGCCCCCAGTGCTTTATGCTACATCAGGTGCCCTGAAAGAAACACAAACTAGGAACACCAGCTGCCAGCCAGCTGTGTGCAGCCAGCAGTGTAACGCGGAGAACTCTAACAAGTTAAAATAATGTGCACTGGGAGAAACGGGGATGTGTGACTTGTCAGCTGGTGTTGACTAAAGGGAGAGCTGAGGGGGATAGGTGGAACCCTCAAAAAAGATTTTGTTTTTTTTACCCTTGGCACCTATGGCAGTAGCCACCTTCATCGCATACACGAGAGGTGTTCCCTATCAAGTCATCTTTTTCTCATTTTAGTGTTAACAGTGTTAGTGGTTTGCAAAATCAAACCATTTCTTGGTGATGGGGGAAAATGGGGACTCAATAGTAGGAGACGGTGGCACTTTTCCTGGGAAAATGATGACTGAGAGGACAAAGCCTCCTTGGGTTTCCCTGTCTTCATGTCTTCTTAGACTCCTGTCAGCAGGGGTACATTCAGAATGTAGAGCCATGTAGAATGCCAGGTTATCCAGGCCTGCACAGTCATCTGTCATAGTGCATCAAAACTGCACTTTCTCCCCAGGCTGCAGGAGGTGAGATGACCTCACAGTTCAGATTGGGCCCCATTTATCCTCCTTTGTGCGTTTGGCTCTTTTACTTGGAAGGGATATTCAGTTGGGGCACTACCAGATTTGCCCAGTGTCCAGATTGCAAAGGATGGGCATGGCATACATAGTTCGCGCAGGCCATCCATTTCCAGTGGTAGGGTTTTGTGTCTATTCACATTTAGTTTTCACGATTTCAGAGTTTGTTTAAAAAAATAAATAAATAAAAGAAAAACATTTGGGGACCAAAGCCTGCAATTGTGTTCCTATAAATACAGGCTGCCTCCTTTGTACTGGAATGTGGATAAGTCCATGGAAATTGTAAGCAATACAGACAGTTGGAGAGGTCATGCTGGCAAATAAAGGAAGAAATGCTTGGTCTGTAGCTTCAGAAATCTGTCTCAAGTCTTCCTTGTGAAAAGTCCCATTCATTAGAACACTTATTTATGATTTATTATTTATTATTTTGTAGGAAGAAACTTGGTTTGACTTTTCTTTGCAAAATATGTGTTCCTTTTATTTATACACAGTTCTTTTTACCACAATTTTATCTTTTTTGGATGCAGACACAGGACTCCCACCCACCCGCCCACTGCAGCCTGTGCCCTGGGGCTTCCCCATGGAGCCACCAGGTCCTGGCTCCTCTCCTGTTAAGGTTCCAGGACCCAGCTGCACAGGCTACGTCCCCAGTTTTCCAAGCTCCCTCCCTTCCCTCCCAGACACCTTGCCCAGAACATAGAGCGTCCTAGAGGCATCCTGCCCCTGGGCCTCCCCAGCACCATCTGGGAAAGGATGTGCACCACCCCTAGCAGCCTGGGACCTGGAAAGCGTTCTTGCCTGTTGCCTATTAGAAGAAGACTGAGGGTCATTTGCATTTCATCCTTCCTGTCTCCTTTTTGCTTCTTTTAACCTTCAGGTAGTCCTTGTACCGGCGGCTAGAGAGGAGGGAAAAAGAGATGGAGAGGAACTTAAGAGAGCTTACCTTTCCAACCACGCTAGCTAAGGTCTTCCTCACTCTGCCCTTGTTTCTTGTATTTCTGGAAAGTGATGGGTAAGAGTGAATTGCCTGGCTTAGCCTGGTCTTTGACCAGCTGCTACATTTTCAAGGTTAACCCCCAGTGGTGTAGTTCCTACCACAGTTGTGAAACACTAGCTACCTGTTCTTCCCTGCCTTGACTCATTGCCAGTCATTTCTAATAAAGATGATTATTAGACTGTGTGTTAAGAGATTTGGCAAATCAAAACTGGATGGATAATTAGGTAAATGATTAAGAAACCCAAGCAGCATTACTGCTATATCCATTATTCTAAATTGCTACAATTTGCAGAGTACACAGGACAGTCTCTCATCAGACAGTCTATACATACTGCACAGCCACCCAGGCAAAACTCACGCCTGCTCTGTCTTCCCCCATGTGACCCCATCACTGCCACCTTCACCTCCACAAAGAGGAGACTGAAAATATGTGCACACGTGCAGTAAGCACATGTGACACACAGAACATGAGTGAGAGGGAGCCATTTGTAACCAGCATCTCATAGGAAACGGACATTTGAAGGATGTTTGCTTTCCTGGAAGACACACGGGCACTTGACATTGTATCCATCAACTTCGTCCCCATGTAGTATGAGGGGAAGCCAGGGACTTGGCCTACCTGTTGTGACAGTATTCCTAAGAAGAGGCTGTGGGCAGTAAGCAGCAAAGAATACCTTACTCTGATTTCTTTTTCCTCTTTAGGTCCAGAGGGTGCAAACCTCTTTATTTACCACCTTCCACAGGAGTTTGGAGACCAGGACATTCTGCAGATGTTCATGCCTTTTGGAAATGTTATCTCTGCTAAAGTCTTCATTGACAAACAGACCAATCTGAGCAAGTGCTTTGGTATGCAAAGAAACCGAGCCAGAACATTACCGTACTCCCGAGTGCGGAGTCCCGGGACGGAAGGTGTAATGGCAAATACTTGAGAAGTCAGGAGAGGGCTGCCCTTGTGTAGTGGTGTTTCCTGGTTCTCTGGATCCATGTAAACAGACTGGGCAAAGTCGTTTCACCAAAAAAGGAGGAAGGGGCTGTATAAAAAGGAAGGATCTGGGAAGTTACAGCAGACATTAGGTTCTACACATAGAGCAGTTCTACACTGCGCTATGGGCGCGTCTTGCTACATGTATCCCCTAAATGGGTCACTGCGGAGCAGCAACAGTGTCTTTGAACCTCATAGACTGAACCACAAACAACTGGAGGGGAAGAGTTTGTGGGCTGTAGTTTAGGCTGTCCTGATAACAGAAGGACCCTGCAGCCTCCCCCACTAATCCTTGACTCCGCCCTGTGGGCAGGGCGGGGCTTACTGCTCTCCATCCAGAGTCCCCGCTGCATGTGCCGGGAGGGGTGTGGTCAGCTGCCAGCCACACTGCCGCTCCACAGAGCGAGCGCAGGGCTGGGTGTCGCCTCGTCACAGGAGGCGCTGCGCTGCGCTGGGTTCAGGAGCCAGGGGCTAGGGGGCTGCCTGACTGGGTGTAGCTTATACCGAGCACGCTCTGCGGCCTGCGCTCCGTGCCGGCCCTCCCTTAGGCAGCCCGACTCTGCCTCGGGGCGGGGCATTTGCCCCCGGAGAGAAGAAGGCAAGCTGCCTGGTGCACTGGTTCCACAGCAGGAGGGCAGCGAGCACTCATTACGTGGACTGCTTATGTTTTCAAACCTTTTAGTCCCCTGAGTAGTTTAGAGGCCTGAATGTTCAGAGTATATATTACTCGCTTGCCAAGTTCTGGCCCAGGTTGAGAAAGAACATTTGCTTGAGTCACTCCAATTTACTAATTCACGTTGGTATAGGCAGTAGCATAAAACAAATCAGAGTAGATACGGGCCAAAAGAAATTTTGACAAATAGAACTGTATGGTATAAACCGCCAGAGGCGGGAGTGGTTCTCAGCCGCCCAATAACTCAGTATGTGGCGGATGGTAATGGGCAGCCAGAATGTTTTGGCTCCCAAAGCTCCTTTATCATGGCGTCTTTCTAACTTCTGAGCTATGGCCCAGGAAGGTCTGAATCTAATGTTGTTAGAGGAAGTAGCATGGCCATGGCCACCCTTTAAGTCACTGGTTTTATCTGAGTGGAAAGGCTGTCAGCCTGCACCCATGACACTGTTGCTGCTGCTTTAGCGAGTGTGTCGACCCCTTTGGAATGGTTCACGCGAGCGACATGGAAGTCAGTTGTGTGCGGTGGGTGTGTTTCGCTGTGAGCTTGCCCTTGGGGACGTCCCTGCACAGGCTGTGAGCCAGACTTATATATTCCTTGTAGCCAGACAATGTCCTGGGCTTATCTGGAGGTTGGAAAGGATTGAGCTTTGTGGTTTGATTTTGAGAAAATATTTACTGCTTTGAAAAGAGCTCATATCAGCCCACAAGCTACTTAACCAGCGTGTTCATAATAATGCAAGCCACAGCTGGGTGTCGGCAGACACTTGTATTTGGCATAATGGACTGAGATTCCAGTTTCTACTAGAAGCCGTAGCATGCTATACCAGGGTTTCTCAGTGAGCCAGTGTCATTTCTTGGGGTCCCAGGTTTGCAGGTCATGAGGTGGTACCCCATTCTTTCATTCTAACCTCATTATCCATCTCACCCTTGACCCATTTCCATTCTTTAATCATCTTGCTACTTCTGGATAAAAACCCAGAGGGAAAGGAGACAGTCTGAGCAGTTACCTTGAACTGAACGATCACATTTACTGGGAATTAGATTTTATAAAAATTTACACCACCGTTGGCAGTACAGCCTGCCTATGAGAAACTTCTCTGCCTTCCACCATATGCTCATATTTGTCAGCTGAGAACTCTGCTCAAGGTACATTTATGTCCTTCTCTTCCTCCTCTAGTTGGTAAAGGAATTTTCTCTTTAGCTTTGAACTGTAATAGTAAGCAGATGGAAAAGCTTAGTATAGAACCTTCTTAACAGCTAATGTTCAGAAATGAAATTCAATCAGGGTAATAGCTAATTACTGTTACCACCAAAAGTAAGTAGGGACTGTACAAGCTAACACTCTGCCATTGACTGAAGGAAGCTTTGCAGGTACCATCACCCCCTGCCCTGGTCCCCCCCTGGGGTGAGAACAAACATGGTCAGAACTCTGTTTCTTGGTCTTTGCAGGGCATCATCAGTTCTTTTTGCAAAAGCACCCCTCTCTTTCTTGGTGGTGAGTGTCAGAACGGAAAGATACTGGGAACTGCTGGGATGGTTGTTAAGCCCTGAGCTGTTTAGCCTGTTTATTCCCCAAGGCTCTTGGAGATACAAGGGGAGCAATTTCCATTCTGTTGAATTCAGTGGCGCTCAGAAAATGGAAGTGAGAGATAAGGAAGAAGACCCAGCGTTTCCCCTGGGTCCTTAGGTCCCTCTCAGTAATAACTTCAAAATGTTAAAAATCAAGTATAGACATTCTAGAGTTAATTCACTAACCCCATCCCATAGCCAAACAAGTGCAGGCTCTGGGAGATGGATGGAGAGCTGAAATGAAGGGCCCACCCTGTTAGCCAGCCCTTCCCTTAATTATCCTGCCTTGTGAGCTCAACCTGGCTGAGCATCAGGGACCCTTGCAGCCCTGGAGCACTGACGCCATTGCTTAGATGAGCCGCAGTTACTCATGGACCTGGGCTTCTTAAAGGATTCAAAGAAACCTTAAACACAAATGGACTTGACTGAAATCAGTAAGAGACTGAATTCACTCACACAACAGAGTGTTGAGATTTTAGCATTCTACAGAGGTGCTTTGTTCACATCAGGCCATTACCCGTCCAGCTAGCTTTTCCACTGCTTCTCAGTGGACAGTCCCAGTGCTGCCCTCACACATGCCCTGCTCATCCAGGGGAGGCACACGGCGGTACTCACCACTGCGGTTACACTGTCCAGCGCATCCACGGGGCCCTGCCCCTTCTCTACTCTGCTGCCTCCTTCCTGATTCCCGCCTCCCTGCCCCTTGTGTTTTCCAGGTTTTGTTAGCTACGACAATCCAGTGTCTGCGCAAGCTGCTATCCAGGCTATGAATGGCTTTCAGATTGGCATGAAACGCTTGAAGGTCCAGCTGAAGCGCTCCAAAAACGACAGCAAACCTTACTGATCCTAACCCCAGAGGCTCCCGCTCTTATTTTAGCTTTCCTAGGGTAAGTCCCACGGGCCAGCCTGTTCGCAACAGGACAGGCAGAGGAGGACCACATTGCCAACTTTTACCACGAGAGACGGTTATTTTTACAATAAGGCCTCCATCCCCTCCCACCCCCACCCAGTTCGCCATATTTAAGACTTGGGCTACCTTGTTTCTAGCGAGTAAACTCCAGTGCCACTGTATTCTCCTTTGTTTTGCAATTTGAATCTCCTTTTACCTTTTTTTCGTTTTGTTTTTGGGTTTTGCTTTTTAAAAAAAAAAACCATACACACAAATAAATGCCATCTTGAGGATTTAAAAGGCAAACAGAGGCTAATGTGCACTTGTAACGCTGAGAGCTGATGCCCTGCCTGGAGAACTGAGCCCTCCTGCCCCAGCTTACCCCTAGGCGGGCACCAGCTGTTCAGAGGTCAGGCGGTGGCCTAGCCAGAGAGAAGCCAGGAGAAGCACTTAAAACAATCCACAACGTCTTTCCACTACATTTGGTTTGTTTTAATCCATGGGATTTTATTTTAGGGTTCAAAGAAACATGACATCTATTGGTCAGGTTATTACACTGGTTGTCTATTTTGTTATTGTTTTATTTTAGTTCTTAGAAAGGATTAATGTAAAAAAAAAAGATTTAGAGATCTGTTTCTTAAAGCTACAGGGTTTAAAAATAAAATAAAAAGGAATGAAAATACTTGATGTTTCTTGAAAGATAAATTTAATAATAAATAATACATAAATAATACATAAATAAAAAAGAAAGCCACAGGCCTGTAAATTTTATTTGTAAAAAAAGCATTTCTATTTTTGTACAAAATTTTTACTGCCTCAGAAATAATGGAAGTTCTTTATTGCCTATTGTTAACTTATTGGGAACCTAAAGAGCAGCTCTCCGCGCTAGCTAGATCCTTCAGAAGTAGTCTCTAGAGGAATGGGCTTTTTGTCACCATTGAACCCTAGGCCTAAAGTTCATGCTTTATCCTCTTGTCGTTTGTATCTGTCTGATTATTTTGTTCGTAACTTCCATTATCTAGTTTACAGTTCAGTTGTCTGACTTTCCCCGTATGTTACATTCGTTGAAACTGGATCCTCTCCCCTGTCCCTTGCCAGCCCCTCACCCCAAAACACCCAGAATCCATCCTCTCTCCCTCTCCGGATGGATTCTTGGGGTTCCATCGTGCTGTGGATAAAGATTGTAAGAAATGCAAATTATGTGGACGGCTCGTAGACTCCCTAATGACCTAAGATTTGCATTAGTTTTTCTCCTGCACCCTTAAGAGTGATTTTGTTGCTGCTGCGTAGATTCTGTGTAACTTTTTACTCTCCCTTGTTTTCTCCCTAGACATCTTCATGCCCGTTAGTTCACCGTTTGCCTAGCATGTCCCTGTGGCGTCTCAAAAAAAAAGTTTCATCGTCCCGTCATTGTTTCTGATGTCTTTCTGACCTCACATCATATTTGGTTCTCCTACTGACCTTTGATCTAGTTTGACCTTTGAGATTTGCATGTGACCTCATCTAGCTATGAATTCTGGGAAGTCAATGTGAAAAACATTGCTGCATTCATGCAAGACTGAAATTTATTAGAAAAATTAATTATAGAAAAACAACCTGTGGCAAAAATGTTTCTTTCTTATTTTTTTTTCTTTTCATAAAACAGACTTGAAAGTATTATACAGGGATTGGCATTCTTCCCGGTCACTGGTAACAATAGCAATATGTGTCCAGGGACACAGAATGTTGGTTTCTAACAGACTACTTCCAAAAACAGTTTGAGAAAAAAACTGTCTGATTTTAAGTCTCTAGAGGTCTGTAATAGTTTTTACATTTTTCAGGCAGTGTAAAGTTTTTTGATAAGGCCATTTTAGGTGGCTCACTTTCTCATTAAGATATATATATAGAACCACTTTTTGTAGGTTAGTATAAGAAAAATATTTACCCTGTTTTGGGGCAAATGCTACCTATTTGTGTCACCTTTTGCTGAACTGACTCACAGTTAGACAATCCATGGTTTAATGCACATGAAATTACCTATATTTTATACTGTTTCAATGTACAGGAGAAAGGTTACTGTAAACTGTGTTGCGTTGGTGCTTCTGTGAATTAAGTTGTGGTTTCATCATGAGTCTTACGGTCTTAATGTTCTTTGTTGATAAGACAAGTTTAGAATTGGTTTACTTAAAAAAAAGAATTTCAAAAAATTTGCTTAAAAAAAATTTCATGTGAGGGGAAAAAAAAAAATACCTATTCCAGAATAAGTTTTGTGTTGGCTTGTAAAGCATTGATGTCATTTTTTTTTATTATTATTATTGTGGACTATTTAGATGTGTTTGTGTTCAGCAAAATGTGATTTTTTTTTCTTTTAAAGAAAAAAGTGAAAATATATAGTGCCAAATTCCAAAGGTACTTCCTTCCTAGAGCTTCAGTGTGTTTGTGAGAAGTAATTTGATAACATGGGTATTTTATTATGTGTTTTGTATAAATCCCTAATATTTAAAAAACAAAAAACAAAAAAAGAGGTTAAAAAGTTTGTTAACTTGCTATCCTGTGGTCTTGTTGCCTGAAATTGTTATCGTTTGTTATTTCTCTATGATGTTTTTTGTAAGACACTGTATAAGTGCCCATGTCTCACTTTTTTAACCACTCTGCACATCAACGCTGTGACGGCAACCTCACAATGTATTTTCTTCATAATACATGGAAACCTCTAAGGTGAGAAAGTTTTGAACTTTTAACCCTTTCTACCCAGAGCTATCGGGAATGTTGGTAACTTTTTATACTGTCATCATTTTGTTTGCGGGTATTTTTCTAATTTGGATTCTCCCCAACCCCCAGCCCCCATCTATCTTCTCTATAGAGTTGCTTTTTGTTTTCACTACTTTATCCTTTGGTTGCGATCCAAAAGAAAACTCCACAAGGCAAATCTGAAGGAAAAAAATACATACTTTAACCTGATTTTTTTTTTTAACTGACAACTTCTGGTCATTTTTTAAAAAAGAATTTTTAATGCGCTGCAGGAATTCCTTCTGACCAGTTTATTGGCTAAACCTGTGAGGGGAATGGTAGGTAGATTTCAGCACCTAAGTGAACCTGAAATTCTCTGCTTCTGAGATCAGGTTTAGTGGCCTGGTCCAGTTTAGAACAGTTTCATCGACCTTCCAGTGAAATGACTGTGATGGAGTCATTTGAGGTATTTTTGCTTTTGTTTCTGAAATACTCCTCGTTAATATCTCTAATCAGCCACTGTACTGGGATTCTCTGACCCCCTCTGAATACGCAAGGTGTCTGGAGTTAGAAGCGGATAGTCCCTTCCCTTTTGATTTTTAATTGAATGCATGTATTGACCACATAAGTCAGTTCTTTGTCACAGTTACTGACCAAATACCTAGCGCCAGTTCCTGCTGCCACTTTTTAATGAAAGTGCCATATTACTTTGACTTCGTGTGAACAGATCTTTTGCTGTCTTGACAAATCCCAATGCCATCCCTACAGCCCCAGCGCACACTCCTGCCTTCCTGAAAGCAGGCCCCAGAAGCTTCTTTGTCACTAATGGAGTCCAGAAGCTGCTGGCTCCCCTCCCTCGCTCCTTTGTGCGCTCACCACCCGGCTTGGTTTAGTGTGTGTGAATGTGATAGCCCTGGGACGGAAAGGACTAGCCTCCAACGATGCAAAAAAAAAAAAGTTTCCTTCTTATAGCACATGCACTTACAATGAGGCGATTTGTATTATCCTCACCCGTGTTTACTACTGCTGGGGCCTTCCTTCATCCTTCGAGGGCTATTTTGTACTTCCTGCAGCAATCTGCTGAAAACCAGAAGCTGCCGCACGTCGCACTCACACACATAGCCCATGGTGGTGTGCAGGTCGTGCGTAGGAGCGCGAGAGAACACACACCACTGGAATGGCTCAGACTGTCTCAGTCCGAATCTCTTCATTTACCAATTTCTACATAAATCTCATAACACACTTTTCCCCCATTTCTTCCAGGAAGCAAACTGCCCTCCACTCCTTTCACCCACCTGCATCTCCCCCTGAAGCGCCCAGTGCGGCTGACAAGAGGCTCAGGGTGGCACTTTAAGTTGAGTGGTTCTTATTTTGCAGGCAACCAAGACACATTTAGGGGGACAGTCCTTTCTTTTTTTTCTTTTTTTTTTTTTTTCATGTCTCATTGTTAAAAAGATAACCCTCCTTGGAGACAAGTTGTCCTTCTAGTCACTTTATCTTTTAATATCAAAAGGAAAAAGTTACAAGGGTGCAAAGGGCCTGTGCCAGAAGAAAAAACACACAGGGAAACTGCTTTTTTAAAATTCAAGTGTAGAAAATAGTCATTTTTAAACTAAATTAGAGAATTGTGATAAAAATGGCAGTCCTCGAGGCGTAACAAGTTCATCTTTCTTTCACCATAGGGGTTCTAGTTCTTTGGCTTGTGCTACTCTGGATTCATTTTACTGTTTCTGTTTTTATTATCTTAAGTGCTAATTAACAAGAAGAAATAAAATTTTAAAAAAACCTGTAGTTTCATTACCTTTTTGAATAATGTCATACAAAAAATGTATTTGTTTTTTTGTGCTGTGAGAATTGTTGTTTGTAGATTAATAATATCATTTCGTTTAGAATTACAAAATAGTTTTTAAATATTGTCTGAGAAAAGCCAAAGTTAATGCAACCTAGTGGAAACTGTAAGACCATTTGAGTATTGTTTGTTTTATTGATGCATTTGGATTTTGTTGTTTGATGGAATTTGAGCCAAAAAAAAAAAAAATACGCAGGCTTTCCTATTTCTACAACTGATTGTACTTATGCATTTTGTACCAGTGGAACTTTTTATACTGGAGATTAAAAAAAAATGGAAATTTTTGTGGCTTACTCTAGTGGGCCCCCTGACAATGACTGATTTCAAGTTTGATTTCTGATTGATAGAAAGAAAGTTACTTTTTTTTTGAGAATTAAAAACTTTGGCTTGATTTCTTTTTTCCCTTTGCTTATATCTAGCATTAGAATTTTGTCTTAAAAAAATACAGCGGTAAGTTTCACTTTTTATTCTGTATCGTGCAGTTAGTTACACAATAAGGTAATTAGATTTAGAAGTACTCAGTCACTTTAAGTGGATAAATGTATTAGTTAAAACTTTAGGGGTTTGCTTTTTTGCTGTTTAGATCAAAGTTTTTTCTGATTCTTCTGTCCTCATTGTGAACATAACCGTGTAGTTGAAACAGTCAAACTTATTTTTGTAACGTATGTTATTGTGTGATGCAGTTTTTTGCTTCTGTCTCCAATATTAAACCATTTTCCTAATACTTGTGTCTCTCTCTGCGTGTTGTATTGTTGGTAGTCATTACATGTTGGTGATACATCTACACACCTCACTGTTTCACGTATCTGTTTTTTTCTATATGTTGTGTAAAAAGATACAGTCGATTCCACCTAAGTGAATATCTGATTTGGGGGAAGGGAAACTGCACACCAGCCACCTCTGACTTATGCTCAGTGGCCTGTTTTAAGCCTGCATCCAGCGATTCACCAAAACAACTGCCTACAGAGTTGGATTTGCCAAGACCTGTTATGGTCTTTTGATCACACTGGTAAATTTCTCTTCTGAACCTCCACCTCTCCCTCTCCCTCCCCTCTCCCTCCATCATGGGCATACGTATGCATTTCTTAACATTCATTTAAAACTGCTGCTGCTTTACTGCATAACCTCAAAAAGAAGAAGAGAGGCAGCAGAACTATCTACCCAGCAGTGCAAAGGCATAACGTTCCAGTCAAACTCTTCTTAGCGACTAATCACATTTTTAAAAGAGGTGCGCTCTCGAGGGCAGAGAAAATAAACCTACCTGGTGGATAGAAGATGTGAAAAGGGTTAAGTACGTGTTGCCATCCATCAACAGAGACGTGTAGAAAAGTAATTTAAATTATGTATTTTTAAGAGCTAACTGAATCCAGGTGCAACTTTGAATCAGTAAAAGTAATGGAAGAGGAAAGAAATAGTTCCGAGTGCTGAAATGGAAGCCCTACTCAGCCAGGTGGGGTGGGAGGAGGTCACGTTTCTCATGCTTCAGTCTTCATGGTCCTTATGGTCCATTTCCAAAGGAAAGCCAAGTTGCCCTGTACACCCACACTCCTTCCTGAAGGAACATGTATTTTTAAAAAAGCCTTGTCCCCTGCTACCACCCCAACCCCAATGATCAAAAAGAGAACTAAAGCAAAAACGACTCCTGGTATGCCCTCTGAAATAGGCCCCAGGCCCTCTTCTCACGTGTGCCCCGCTGTTACGCTCAGGAATCTGACTGCTCTCCAAGTGCACTTAAAAGATTCCACTGCTGTCTGCTCCCTATGTCTGCTCTCGCCTCCCATTCTTCAGACACACGAGCTCTGTGTGACTCAGGCACCCAGCACCAGGCAGGTCTCCTCTGGCTGCCACTGAGACTTTCCCTGAAGGTGCCAGGCCCTCCACCCGCTGGTTTTAGCAGCCCCTGTGACCCCTAGATTGTCTAGTCGGCTCAACAGCAGAGGGTCCGGGTGCCGCGGAGGGAAGGCGGCTTGCTCCCCCGCAGGCCGAGCCTCAGTGGCAGGCCGAGCCTCAGTGACGTGGCTCCCACCAGCTCCACACCGGCACACGTGGGAGCTGACTTCCTGCCAATACTTCTCTAGTCAATCTCATCACAGCCTCCACCAGTCTGAAAACCCACAGCTTACGTTAGTGGGAAAAGGTGGCTACGGGTGTGATTTTTCTTTTCTTTTTTTTTTTGCGGGGGTGTGAGGGAGGGGAGAAGGGGTAAAGAGGGTGAGCAATTCCAAGATGAAAGGGCTTATTTTTAAAATACGTAAGTGATGTACGATAGCTCTATCTCCACCATTTGACACAAGGCAAAATACTCATGCTAAGTAAAAGAAGGGAAAGACAAAGCCAGTTTTTTTGGTTCTGGAAAAACAAAAACAATTCTTCAAAGAAGGGGACAAAAAAATGCTAGTTCCCTTAAGCTCTGAGGACTGTCCAGTAGTCCCTGCTTGGATTCGCAGCTAGCATGCTATTCTGTAAAAGGCCTCTGCAGTGCTAGCAAGGTGTACCTGTTTGCCATGCGCAGACCCCCTGGGGATGACAGAGCTGCCAGCGTTCACCCTGGTGACGGAAGCCGCATGTCTGCCCAGCCCACGGCAGTTAGGAGCAGCCCAGGGCCTGGGACTCTTAGCTGGCAGGCTAGGAAACACAGTGAACATAAAGGTACTGTGAATCATTCCTGATAAGTGAATAAAATATTGTGACCAAACAATCAGCTTATTCACTTATCAGGAATCGACTGTTCTGCTAATTCGCTGTTTTTGTTTTTCATCTCTGTTGTAGTTCACTATTCTTGCTGTGTTCTGTTTTCTCCTCTCATGCTTGGGCAAAATCACTGGGAATATTTATCTTCATGTGACCATGAACGTTTATATCGAGTGAAAATGGTATCTTAACAAAATCTATGCACTTGCTATCAGGAACACAATACTGGATGTGTCTTATATATATTGAACTATATAGTACTCGATTTCTTAAATAAAGCTTAAGAAAGGACTTCTGTGTGTAATGTTAATGTGATTATTTTTCAAAGCAGTGTTTCTAGGGGCTATTTTTGTTCTTTTAAGTCTTGAGTGATACAGGATTATTTTTCATTAAAATTATATCATTGGCTTTATGACTTAATATTCAATAAATTGACTTTGGAAACAAAATGGAGTGGGGGGACATTCTTCCAAGTGCATTTTAGCAAGAGGCGTCTGGAAAACCATCGCCTTACTGGTGTCTCTGGCAGATCTCTGCCCAGGGGCCGTGGGTGGCAGAACAGAGCAATCCCTACACCACCCAAAGCCCCCTGGAAAGTTCCAGAATCTGCCCTAACCTAGAAAACCCAACTACCTCTCTGAAAGTGGTCCCATTAGGCTCAGAAGAAAGAAGAAGAAAGGCCTACCTGAGAATAATGCTGGTTTGCATCAGCACTTTTCCACAATGATGTGACACTAAAACTGTCCCCTGCTAGAGAGCAATGGTGGTTCCATGCAGGACTGCAGGATGAGAGGAAGCAAGAGAACTGGTTTGATCATTCAGGATGAGAAGGGAAATTTCAAAGCGATATGTGAGACAGACACCCTATAACAGTCACAGAGCTTAAATGGGAAGCCTGCTGCTTGGCCCTTTGAAGGAATATTTTTGAAATTTTTCCTACAGGCCATAAGTCTGAACAGAATGGCATTTTCCATTGGATTTTTTTAGCTTTGGGGTGTTATGTTAGATTTGTTTTTCTTGCTTAATGTTTGATTCTAAGAAAAACTTCTAAACTTGCACAATGGCACAGGCCTCCGTATCCTTTATAAAACAAATCTTAGTCATCCCTGATAATGAGGGATAGAGAGTATCGTTAATGAAAATCTACAGAAAACCTTCCATTCTCTGCCTCCTCCCATCCCAAACCTCCTACTTACAAATCTGTCAACAAAAGCAAAAACTAGTGAAAGCGAGGGATCAGAGAAAGTGACAACGGTAGAAAATCAAAGGGTCTGGATATACACTGCATTTGCTGGACCATGCAGTTTGGGGTTGGGGGGAGAGGTGTGGGAGGGGGCTTTTTTCAGTCTAACAGTTTGAAAACTGCTGGTCTCCATGCACTGGGCTTGAGGGCTGGAGTCGGCTGCACGTGGATGGACTTTTCATAGTTCTGCCTTGAGCACCAGTCACATAGCTAGAAAGCATCCTCTTTTCTAAAGAGAACACATCCAAGGCAGTAATGGATGGGAGAGCTCCTAGGCTCAGGGAACAAAGAATGAAATGCGACATATTCCCCTAGCAGTCAGTCGTCCCCACGACTGACCTCACCAGCGAGGGCTGCAGGCTGGGGGCCTCCACTCCGAGGGACGGCAGGAGGGCCTGCCCGGCGGGAGCTGCTTCAGGGGGAATGCTACGTTCCTTTTAACCTTCCTGTGCCGAGCAGCAAGGCAGCCTGGCACCAACTTCTACCTGCCTACATCCAGAGGAGTTTTTTAAATAAAAAATAAATATATGAATATACATTAAATATCTGTGATATGTTCAACAGATACATATAAAAGATACATTGTGTTCTGCAATAGGTCCACTTATACAGTTAAAGTCCCAAATAAGAATGTCCAGTTTTGAGACACTGGGTGATGCTTCTATCACGAAGCTGGAGTTAAGGCTACAGAGGCACTCAGCACTCTCTGGTGAGCCACCTGCCTCAGCCTGAACGCCGGCTCTACCTCCGGTTACCTGGGTGACCTCTCAGGGCCTCAGCTTCCTCACGGGCAACTATATGTGCTGTGTGGGGTGGTTATGAGGATTAACTAAGCCCACATATGCAAACCAGACCAGGGTCATCACGCTGGAAGTACTCGCACAGGTAACCACATGGGAGCAGTGGTAGTACTGACGTAGTCAGCTAAGGGCCCTCTTTGGGCCCGGTCTATTACTGTCTCCTGCCAGGTGCCCTCCGCCATCCCCAGAGAGCCCGATAGCTCTCCCCTCTGTTCCTTGGACAACTACAGACAAGGTCCGACCAGAAACCACAGTTCCTGCAGCAGAGATCTGCACTAACAAGCTCCAGAACAGGCTTTTCCCCTCATGAAAAACTGTACCCTGGAGACATGCCCACCTTACAGGCCAGCACACCTGCCCTGAGTCATGAGCACCCACAAATAACTCCATCCTCAGAAAGGGAACCAGTCCTCACTCTAAGCCACCCTCGCTTCCTACCTCTAAGTACCACACTTACACGTAGGTATCTCTTCCTCAAAATAAAGCCTAGCTGTCCGTTGGGGTCCTGGGTGGGAATGACAGATCTCCTGAAGATCTGCCTGTAATGGAGCCTGTAGGTTCTAGGCCCTTCCACAGCACAGCTGTGGCCTCCGCAGCCACCAGAATTGATACATCTCTGACCACCTCAGGAAGAGCAGTGGTCAGAACTTAGAAGTCCGGGTACAGCCAAGCAGCAAGCTCTTTAGACCACCGCCCCCATCTGCTCCCCACCCTCAATTTAACCAAAGGTGTTCTGCTGTTTTATTGATTGGTGGTCCATGTAGGATTTAGAAAAACCAATTTGCTACTAAGAGCACAAAGACGAAAGCCACTGCTTTAAAAGAGGGTCTCAGCAAGCTCGCCCTTACCTATGCATGGTGATAAATACTTAGTGTCTTTGGAGTCCATCTCTCCTTCCCTTATCCCTACTTCTATATCCCCATGTTTCTCCGTCTGCGATGCATCATAACATTCACTATTTATTGTGCACTGTTTACATGTCGCGTTTAGCTGTCTCCCAAGCCAGACTGTGAGCTCTCTGAAGGAAGTGACTTGGTTTCATTCATCACTGGGTCTCCAGTGTCACACAGTGCCTGCCATATCGCCAGTGTTCAAAAATGGTGGATGGGTGGGTGAGTGGATGGATGAATACAGCAGGTAATCTTGCTCGGGCTCGAGAAAAGCATGCCTTATGAAATGGACAACTCAGGAAACATCTGAGGAGACAGGTCTGATGATGCTATGGGATGAGAATGGCAGAAATAGGAAGCGAAAGTCAGGAGCCATCATGGGCGGCCTGGAACGCAGGTGAGGAACTCTCCTGCTTGCGAGTCCCAGAAACGCAGGTTTGGCCTCGTTGCCACAGAGCTGGTCACCTACTGAGGTCCTGAATGGAAGGACATTCCGTTAATCAAGGCGAGCCACCTTGGGTGTAGTGTCATCTTTTTCAAGCTAGATTTTGTACCCTCTCAGGAACATCTTGTAGCTAATGACCGTCCTTAGATGGATTTTTAACATCTAAGAGACTAGAAGAGCCATAGAACTGAGTACAAATCAATAGAAAACTATGAATAAAGGCACCTGATTCTGAGGCATGCCTGAGAAGCAGGCCAGTTCCCTTTCGCCTTCTCTCCCAGCTGCAGCGACTGCTCAACCCACCAAGTGAGTACCTGGAGCAGGACAGGGCCAGGCCAGCCCACAGGCAGAAAAGCACAACTAAGTCACTAACAGCCCTGTGAAGGCGAGAAGTCCAAGCCACCGCTGGGATGCCATGTAGCCCCAGGCATCGGAGAAATTTATGTGAATCCAAGTAATCTGTCCCAGCTTGTCAACAGCTACCATAGGCACAGTGCACAATCCACTCATCATTCATGTGTTCAAAAGACAGGTACCCCACACAAGGGGTGTAACACATAGTCCCGCCTCCATGAGCGGCCATAATTAGCAGATCTGCCAAGTAAGAGGAAACCCTTCAAAGCAGTGAGAGGGGGTGGTCCAGACAAAACCTTCTCTCCCCACACAAACACTGTATCACCATGGTGCCCAAACGGGATTATACACTTAAGAGCCTCAGAGAGATGGCAGCCCTTTCAGACTTTCTAGTCCTCAGCTGAGCTCAGTGCTCCTCAGACAGTGTCTCCTGGCTGGAGCTTAAATGAAATCTAGTGGGGGATGGGGACCAAGGAGCTGCTCCCACAGTCCTCTCCACACCCATGTCTCTCCCAAGGGCAGAGCTGAGCAGAGTGGCCCTCTGTACCCACCTGGCCAAGCATGTGGCATGCTCTTACCCGTCTACAGGATGTGTTCTATGCACTGACTTCACCTCTTTATAAACTATGACCTGACCCAGTGGGGGCCTTCCCATCAGGGGGCCTATGAGGTTGAGGAGACTGGAAAGCAGACACAGCGCCCCGGTGGGAATGAGAGATGGGGGCTAAAGCAAGACAGGGTGTCCTCCAGAGCTGACGGCGCAGTTGCCGCCCGCCTGCAGCACCCGGGCCCGAAGCCCACAGGCCTGCCCTGCACCCACTTCCCACTCTGCCCTCCTCCCCATCCCACTGAGATTGTGTTCTTCAGCCATCTCAGTGCCCCATTCGGTGTCTCCTGTGGGGCTACATGCACCCCTATTCCTAGCATCAAGTTCAGCCCAGTCACAGTAAAATGCCGGTGACACCTGCCAGCTTTCCCTGCTGTCGCGCCCTTTGCAGAGCAGGCTTCAGAGAACTTCGCTGTCCCCGCGATAAAAGGGTGAGAAAGGCAGTGCTCTCAGGTTGGCTAGAACCAACCAACAAAGAAATACTGGGGACTCCATCATTAAAGAATGTGATGAAAGTAATGTCACCAAGGTCATGACAAAGGCCATTCCTGACTTTGCTCCCCTCACAAGAACAGCTAACAGCTATTCATGGACAAGACCCCACTGAGAGAGTCCTAGAACACGGGGTGAGGCTGAAGCATCCCTGCACCTCAGAGACCTAGACAGACGGCCTCGAAGTATAAGAGGAGCAGCTGCACGTGGACCACAGGGCCCCGCCCACAGGGGTCACAGCACCACTCAGAAAGGTCTCCGAGCCTACAGTTCCTACAGTGAGAAAAGAGGGCCCAGGGGTGACACCCAGCCCCCGCCCAGAATTGTGGGTCACTTTGTGGGAGCCCCTACTCTGTTTTTGGCTCCTGGGGATTGCAGGGGAACCTGTGGGGCTCAGCCACCGGGCATCTGACTGTTACAGAGAAGTGGGGGCGGGGAGGGGGTGCTTCCAGCAGCCAGC